CACTGTACCCATTAGGTGTGAATTTATCCATCCCCTCGCCCCCCTCCCACCTACTTGATTTCCGTTGAGGTTTATTTCCATATGTGCACGTAAGTGTTGATCAGTTCCAATTTAGTACTGAATACATGTGGGATTTGTTTTTCCATTCTTGTGATACTTCACTTAGAAGAATGGTCTCCAGTTCCATCCAGGTTGTTATAAAAGATACTAGATCTTTTGACTCAGAGGAGCTGATGTTGCCTCTGAAAGTCATGACTGTCCCCCGAAAGTATTTATTAGACAATGTTAAGTTAAAAAAATTGGACCTCAACTATGTTAAAAAATTATAAGAAATATTGGAAGAGAATGTCATATTCTATTTCCCATACTTTCCATATGTTATTAAAGAAGAATACAATGCTCGAAAATCAGATGATTTAAATTTAAACAAAATTGGGTTACAGACATGATTATACAGTTTCCACAAAGAGAAGTTATTTGGGTATGGAAGTTCTACAGATGACATAATGAAATGATCAAAATTTGTTCTTGTATTTTAATAGAATGCTGAAGTTCTGAAGTGAAAAAATGTGGTGCCTATTTTAGTAACGTCCCTCAAGAAAGGGAGACAAAGCACCAAGCTTCTAAACGTATAGCAACAAAATACTTGCACAACCAGCTGCCCGAATTTACAGGAGTAAGAAACATTGGGTGTGCTACAGCCATAAAAAAACAGATTGTGAAGTCCTTTCTTTTCTTTTCCTCTTTCTCTCTCTTTCTTTCTCTCTGAAAAAGAACTGAGAAAAACAAGGAATCACAATCTTGGGGAAAAAGTCTTTGTAATATAGAAGTGCTAGATCCCATAAAAGTTTTCTCTCAGCCAGAGCGATGCTGCTAATAATTTATGAAGACCTTGAAGGAGCTACATTAATATCAGTAATTACTCAGGAAACACCTGGGTCATGACTTCAGTTACATTTTCATTCAAATCCTGAGACTGTCCATTAGGCTAGACAAGAAATACCATTTTCTTTGTCCAAGGAGTTTCCCACTGCCTTAGAAGCAGTGTAACCACAAGCGTGGTCTGTCTAGAAA